TTAAATTTCACAAATTTATTTAATTTTCATTGTTTTACATTTTTTACAAGTGGTCTTGAACGATGCAACTAATCCCTCCGTTTACATATTTTTTTGTTAAGATTTCAATCTGGCCATCGCTCGTTCCCAATTGATAAACGTCAAAACCTACTGAACTCGATTAGCTGTCAAAGTTCAGTAGGTTTTGACGTTTAACAATTGCTCTATCACTTCCAGTGAGAGAGGAGTTAAACATCCCTTTATTCCTGCTAATACYTTGCACTTCAATAAAATTTTAATATTTTGTTCAAAGTGAAATTTTTTATGCAAAAGTAAGAAAATTTATTTGTTTTAAATTATCAATTCTTATTACAAGTGATGTAACAGAGCTATTTTATGTATTTATTTGTAAAATAACGCTAGGTTTGTTAGAGCTTTGAGTAATTTTTCATTTTACATATTAGTAGCATCTTCCACTCTTACTGTAAACTCTACTGTCGTTGGCATATATAAGAATATATTGAAGTTAGCGAGAACGACAACTGTCGGTCAAAATAACTCTGCCCATAAGAACGTGTGTATTTTAATGTTTGGCAGATGACGTTTGCAGTCTGTCCCGAGCATTGTGTTCAGCACATTATTATTTACTACTTCAAAAGATAATATAATGAAATTAAAAGCAATAATTGATTGTAATACTGAAAAAGTGTGCGAAAAAGTTAAGAATATTGGAAAAATGTGCGTTGCTTATTTTCTGCTATCTAAAAATATTAAAACTTGTTTCTGTTAATATACTTGCACATAATTTATTTAGCAATATAAAAAAATCCAAAGGACACAGCAGATTTCGAGCGACATCTGTAGAAAAATAGCAAAAATCGGCCATTGGCAGTATTGCCTACTCAAATTTGGTAAATACAGCTAAATGCACGAAATTCTTGTGCATTACAAACTTGCATTAATAGTGGGATTCTGTTACCAGTCTCTAGTCTCTATTTGAGCCATTTTGTGGTAAAATCTCAATTTGTGACTAATTACTATTCACTAAACAGTCTCTAGCTTTAGTCTCAAAATATTGCCTCAAATTTGAGACCTGGTAGTTAGCAAGTCACAAAACCAAAAAGAACTCTTGTCTGCCATTTTGAATATACTGAATAGAGATCACCAT